GGAAAGAAAAAACAGTGTAATTAATATGTAATTAGGTGTAAATTGATGTTATCTTTCTTTACAAGAAATACTAGATTCCTTTCTTAGGTGTCTATACTTTTTTTTTAACCTGTCTTAATGGTATGCAACATATTATACAGAGGTGTAATTTTTGTACAGGTAAATATTTATTTTATTTTTGGTGTTTTTCTAGTAAATAACAATAAATGTTACTTAATTTGTCTATATCGGACTTTTTATGGATACAAGATGTGCTAGATTTTATGAAACACATTTCCAGAAAAACACGTTTTAAATGGTTCTTTTCTTTTACCAATATATATATAAATATATATATATATATATATATATATATATATATATATATATATATATACAGGGTGGTGAATCGTCAAACGGTCCATAGGAAACTCAATGGGAAATTCTAAATTGTTGAATTCCTGCTTCCCTAATTATTTTACACCCAAAGTCATGGGAAACTATTTGTAGAGGACTCAAATATGTATCGAAAACAACTGTTAAAATTATTCTACGACTTAAAGGTATTCCAAAATTTTGCTAAAATATAATACATTTTTCTGTGAAAAAATGTGTATTACGTGTTGCGTTTTGTCATATTATTGTTTCTGATATTTGACAATATTTAAATCAATTATATTACATTTATCTATGATTTAAATGGCCAAAATTTTGTGATTTATTGTTAAAAAAAAATTAAGTTGATTAAAAAATGTACTCAGTTGAGGAGAAAAAAGCAATAATAAAAATTTTTTATTCATGTTTTATTATAACACTTGTTATAGTTTTATGTTTATAAATTATCATATATTATTATTAGAAATAAAGATCACAGTAACAGTATATTGGAATTCATTGAATTGTTGTATAACTTAACATGGAATTAAATTTTAGTGAATTAGAATATCTTACGTTAAATAAAGATCCGGTAGTGGCAGGAAAAGGTTCGCGCTATTGCCTGAGTACAACATTATGCGATTTTTCGTCAACTGAGTACATTTATATTGATCGATTTGTAAACAATATAATTTATTGTTCACAAAGTAATAATGTTCATTAGTAGTAGTATTTAGTAAAACTCATTGTTTATAATTTAATCATAAAATAAAAAAATTGACAATTCAAATTTTCAAACATCTGACATAAATATGATAAAACACAAACGTAATAATATATATTCTTGCATTACGTGTGGCCTAACTTTTAGGGGTGGCCTGAAAAATGTATTATATTTTAGCAAAATTTTGGAATACGTTTAAGTCGTAGAATAATTTTAACAGTTGTTTTCGATACATATTTGAGTCCTCTACAAATAGTTTCCCATGACTTTTGGTGTAAAATAATTAGGGAAGCAGGAATTCAACAATTTAGAATTTACCATTGAGTTTCCTATGGTCCGTTTGACGATTCACCACCCGGTATATATACATCACTTGATATAGTTCGGCGGAATCTACTTTCCATTTTTGATAGATAGGGGTGTTTGGTGTGTCGGTTATAGTGGTTTCCATTATTATAGGATAGTGATCACTATTATAAAGATAATCTAGACTATTCCAAACGTAGGGCAGTTCAATATTACATTTACCAGTAATCAAGTTAAAGTATAAATAACACGCGTCAATGTTTCAAACGTATTTGAACAATCCCCGTACTTCGTAGGAAATAGATGGAAGAAAGAGGGAATGAAAGATACCTCCCATCAAATAAATATTGGACATTGATATGTTATTCGAAATCACCAATATTTAACACGCTACTTGGAGGTTCCCTTCTAGCCGGCGGCGATAGGTACAGATAAGAAACGCTGTTGATTCATGCCAGTGCTGTACAGCTAAAATGTTTATTATTTTACGAAGTATAATTAAATCATTATACTGTCAATATGGCCTATTGTCATTTAATTATAAATTATTTTTGTTGCTTAATATGACATGTTAAAAACTTTTTTATACACGTATGTACTTTACGACAGCTTTAAGTAAATTAAAATTGTCCTTTTTCTGTAGTACATTAATCTATATTTGATTATAAAAATAAATGATGCGTCTGGTAATATGATATTATTCTTTTTGGCACTGGCAACCAGTTTTATGGGTGTTTCAACTGACTTTATAAATACTATACTAATTTGAGTTGGATTATGTTCTTCTTTTAGTGTGCTTACCTTGTTCCATATAACTGGCATCGGAGTTGATGAATTAATCGGTGGAACATATCGCATCCAGGTTTCTTTTTTACTTTTTTTAATCAGATATTTAGTTTTACCTCCCAGACTTTTAAAATTAAGAAAATTCTCAGAAGTTTGATGATTTTTTAGAATATTAAATGCATTCTTGCTAGATTTCATAGCAGCTATCTCTTGGTTCCACCATGGAACCGGTTTTCTTTTACATAATTTGGTTTTTCCTATGGATATATTAGTAGCTTTTATAATGATATCATTAAAATATTGTATGTTAGTATCTATATTTTCTTCTGGAGTATAGTCCAAGATGTAATTGCTTACAAGATGTTGATATAGTTCCCAATCGGCGGAATCTACTTTCCATTTTTAATAGATAGGGGTGTTTGGTGTGTCGGTTATAGTGGTTTCCATTATTATAGGATATTTATCACTATTATAAAGATAATCTAGACTATTCCAAACGAAGGAGGTTGATAATACCATTCTGACAGCTGAAATATGTAGGCTTACCAGTATTCATGAGTATTAAATTTTGGGCATCTACAATATGCATGAGCAATCGACCATTTTGATCTGTTTTGTTGCTACCCCACGCGACATTGTGACAATTCATATCACCTACTATTAATTTGGGATTAGGAATTTGGTTAATTAGATACTGGAGATCTTTTAGTGTGGTTTCATTAGGATGAGGTAGATAAATATTGCAAATATTTATATTTTGCAGTTGATATTCCATAACACTGATACAGCTACAGCTTCTAGATTAGTATGTAGCTTAATTTCTTTGGTCTGAATGTGATTTTTTACAAAAATACCAACACCTCCACTAGCATATGTTGCGTCTCGATTTTTAAGGAAATGGGAATAATTTTTTATATTCAAGTTATTAGTTTTAAGGTGGGTTTCCTGTAAACATAGGATTCTAAACAAAAAACAAGGGATTCTAAATTATTAAAATAGCCATTAAGATTACACTGAAACATGAATGTATTATCCATTTTATTTTACAACGTAGGAAAGGGAGTTATCGCTTTCAATATCCGAGGTTGAATCGGTAACTGAGAATTGTATCTTTTTTTGAAGTCTTGTTAGTTTATTTTTTATTTTGCGATCAGGAATATGGTCGTGGGTGAATAGAAGTATCTCTTTAAAAGAAACCATATCGGTTATGTAATTTTCTGCTATGGGGGTTGGATATTTTGAATTTAATGCGTTACATATCGCGTCGCAAAGAACTGTAAATTTAAGAAAAAATGTCGGGTATTTAGATTCGATTTTACCTTTAATAGATTCAAGTGATTTAAGGATATCAGATGGTGATGATCTTGACCGCTTAACCGTATTTTTGGGTTGGGTAAAAATTGTTGGATCGGGTGACGTTTCATGTATCTCAGAAGAGTCAGTAGATATTTGTCTCTTTGTTTTTTGATGGGAGGCATTAGAGTTCAAAGTAATAGTATTGTTATTTTTAGTCGTTTCGTTGTGACTATCTTCTGCTGTTATTTGAAAGTTAGTGGCATTATTAATAGGATTTCCTGCTTCTGTTGTAAGATTTTGAGGTTTAGACGGGAGTGATATTGTAGATTGAGATTCAATGGGTGTTTCAGTTGATGTCAATTGTGATAGAACAGGGCAGTCTGTTTCGCGATGACCTTTTGACATACACTTAGGGCAATTTAAGTCAGTGGATAGATAAATTCGATAGTTGGTGTTGTCGAAAGATATTGTAATGAAATCTGGGATAGTGATATTTTCAATAGGAGTGATAAAAATTTGTCTTCGAAAGCTTAAAACGTAGTTACAAGCAGTGCCCGGCATTCCAACTCGCAGAAAAGTCATCTGGAATACAGTATTAAGTCCTAATTTTTTCAGCTCAACTTCAAGTACTGAGTTTGGTTTGGTGGGACAAACATTTGAGATAACCAGTCTTGTAGCAGGAGTAATTAGACGTCCTACTTCAACTACGGAATCAGTAATGGATATTGTTGTATGTATCTTCAGCAATGTGTTGACTTCGGTACTGGAGAGGTAAATACAAATTTTGTTATTCGAGATGCGGGATGCAAATAATATATTTTCTGGTTTTACTATATTTAATATTTCTATCACATATCCGTTTATTTTTATTCCATTGAGAGCAGATAGTACAATAGCTTGGTTTTTGGTTGGATATTTAAATGAAGTAACAGCGTTGGAATATGAACATGGTTGATTGTTGTTAGGAGAACAAACAGAACCAACAGAATCTTCATCCATTTTTAAAATATTCACATTTTGGCACCTCTATTCTTCAGACGGTCCTGTTTCCATAAAAACAGAATCGGTAATGAGGTACCGAAAGTTGTGTAGTTGATAAAGCCGGTACCAGGAACTTGTTTTGATGTAAGTATCTCTAATTATATTAAAATAAATACCGCTTACAGTTTTTCTCCAAGTAGTTCAAATTTATTTTTATAGTAACAATACACTTTATTGCAATTTTATCAACTGGATACAAATAATATCGCAAAAAACCAGGTGTAATTAGATTAGCTATTAAACACGTCTGTTAACGACAAAGGTTCGATGTGAAGTCCCGAATTAAATGTTAAAATGGTCTATGCCTTCTTAACTTATATAAATCATTTTGGCCTAATAGCTGCTACACCTAAACTGGACCCAATACATTTACCAATGCCATTGCGGCAACTAGCTAAATAACCAAATTTCCACCAAAAAGAATAATGTCATGCATACCAAATCAAAAAACTTCAGATGTTAATAGAATTTACATTAGTTAATAAAAACTTACCTTCTGATCTAGCTGTTTCATGCATACCAAATCTATTGACTTTAGTCCATGTCCTGTTGGGCATATAAAATATAAACAAGCGTGAATTCTTGTGTCATGGAATGTGGAAAGAGACCTCTTAATTTTTAATTCCTCCTGTAGGTAATTTTCAAACTGTGCATCTATGTAGTCTACAATGGCTTTGAAACTGTTTTCCTTGTTTATTTGATCTCCATAACCAACTGTGTCCACTATTGTTAACTGTAAGATATTAATAAATAAGCAAATAGACATTTTGTAATCGCCAGTTTGGAAAAACTAACGCCGAGCATCTTTAGTATTTCCGAATGTCGCCGAGAAGTTGTTTTTGGTGATATTCCTAATATAAACTGTTGGGTCGTGATCAGTTAATCTCGATCTAGTTGTCGCGTGCTGTGTAAGGATCTGTGCTGGTACTTCTTAGTTGATGCACACTATATTAATTTTTGATATTAAAAATGAACATTTTTTCCCCTAACTTTTTCCTTTTGTGTTAAAACGACGTAAAAGCCTTTAGATCGTTTTCATTTGATTCCGAAAATTCTTGAAATTAGGATGAACATGTTTGGACAACCACAAATAATTGTTGGAGTATATGCAATGATTGACAATGCGACCATAAGGGAAAACGAAGATTTTTTTCAACGCACTAAGAGATGTATTAGACAAGGTAACGGAAAAAGAAGATATTCTACTAATTGGAGATTTTAACAACCACATAATAAAGACTTCTTCTTCTTCTTCAAGTGCCCTGTCCGTTGAGAACGTTGGCTATTAACATGGCAATTTTGCTCTTGTTTGCGGCGCTTCTGAATAGTTCGACCGATGTGAGCCCGAACCACTTCCGCAGATTTTGGTGCCCCGAGTGTCTTCTCCTACCTGGCCCTCACTTACTGTCTATTTTTCCCTGGACAATCAATTGTAGCAGACGGTACTTATCGTGTCTCAATATGTGGCCTAGATATTCAAGCTTTCTTTGTTTAATTGTATTCACGATTTCCTTCTCCTTTCTGATTCTTTGGAGTACCTCTATGTTGGTGACATGTTCGGTCCAGGATATACGAAGAATGCGTCGGTACACCCACATTTCGAATGCTTCTAGTTTTCTCGTTAGCGTCTCCGTCAGCGTCCAGGCCTCCACGCCATACAGCAAGATCGGAAAAATGTAGCATTTAACTATACGTAGTTTTAGGAGAAGAGACAAATCCTTGCTTATGAGGAGCTTTTTCATATTGCTAAATGCTGCTCTAGCTCGTTCTATTCGTGCCTTAATTTCTATGGTCTGTTCCCATTTTGCATTTACGTTGGTGCCAAGGTACACATGAGATTCTACAGGGTCAATTATTAGTATGTTACTTATCCGTAATTGTCGAGCAGGTTGTTGCTTTTTGCTTATCAACATCCACTTTGTCTTCTTGAAGTTGAGGCTCAGGCCGTATTCCTCACTAACTGAATAAAGTCTTTTCATTACTTGTTCTAATTCGTCTATGGTACTGGCAAGGATCACCGTGTCGTCGGCATATCTTATATTGTTCGTTAACTCGCCGTTTATTTTTATGCCCTCATTTGCATTTTTCATACATTTGTTAAATATTTCCTCGGAATACATATTGAATAGGAGTGGGGATAATATACACCCCTGACGGACACCTCTTTTGATCTGCACGCTTTCAGTGAGTTTGTTGCCAATTTTTGCTCTTGCTGTTTGGCCCCAGTATAGGTTTGCCACAATTCGAATGTCCTTGTCGTCAATACCTGTCTTTCGCAGAATACCTATCAATTGTTCATGATTGACATTGTCAAATGCTTTTCTAAAATCTACAAAGCACAAATACACGTCCTTATCAACGTCTCTACACCGCTGTATAAGCACCTGGAGAGCGAAAATTGCTTCTCTAGTTCCAAGTGCTTTCCGAAAACCAAACTGCGATCTATCAATATTTGACTCACATTTATCATATATTCTTCTATGAATGATCTTAGTGAACGCTTTAGTGACATGATTGATCAAGCTTATAAGCCGGTAGTCATCACAAATCTGGGCATTTGGTTTCTTCGGGATTGTAATAAATGTTGACTGCAGCCAGTTCTCCGGGATTTTACCGCTATTATATATGTTGTTAAAAAGTACAACTAGATTATCAAGGAACTGTTTGTCTGATTTACATAGGATCTTTAATATTTCGCAGGGTACATTGTCCGGACCTGCTGATTTATTGTTTTTTAGTGCTGCAATGGCACCTTCTATCTCTGATTCGGGGATTGAAGATCCTGTTTCTCCTTCTCTACATAGGTCACTCTTCATAGATCAGTCCTGTCAGACGCAAATAATTTTTCTATGTATGATTTCCATGTTTTTAAGATCGTTGATGGCTCCGAGATAAGATTTCCATCGCTATCTTTTATGCTGTTGGGTGACTTATTGAATTTCCTCTTGTTTGTCATCGATTTTATTTTTTGTGCATATTGTAACTGTCGTATTTTCGTTCGTATTGTTCTATTTCCCTGCATTCGTTGGAAAACCATTTTTCTTTGGCTTCTCGAATTTTCGTTCTTATGGTTTTGTGGATCTGCTGGTATTTTTCCGCATTTTTATTCTTGAATTTACGTCTTTCATCCATCATATCCATTATCTCATCAGACATCCATTCTTTCTTTTTCCGTCGGTCACGCTTTAATAGAGTCGCGCATGTTGTTTGGATTGCTTCCCTCGATTTATCCCATCTCTCTATTATGTCCGACGTGTTCTCGTTAATGTCCTTTATTTTCTTTCCTAGTTGTTCTCGTACTTTTATTTCGGTTTCTGGGTTAGTGAGTTTTTTAATATCGATTGTGTTTAAATTAGATCTTTTCTCGAGCCGTTTTACTCTCATGACCATTCTGCATACCAACAAATTGTGGTCCGTAGGAACATCGGCATCTGGGTACGTTTTTGATGATTTTATCATGTTTTTATATCTTGTTGGTACTGCTATATAATCTATCTGATTTCTAATGATGTTGTCAGGTGAGTCAGCGGGGGATTTCCATGTGTAAAGTCGACGTTTGGGGAGCTTGAAGAGTGTATTACTTAACAGCAGGTTATATTCCTGGCAGAAGCATATAAGTCTATCACCTCTATCGTTTCTCTCCCCTAGGCCAAGTTTCCCACGATTTCATTCACCTTGCCTCTGCCAACCTTTGCATTGAAATCTCCCATCACTATTGTTACTTCATGTTTTTTGTCATTTTCATCAGGCTTCTCAGTTGTTCGTAGAATTCTTCGCTGGTTGCCTCATCTTTATCTGCCGTTGGGGCGTATACCTGTAATATGTTAATATCCACATAATAAAGACAGAGGAAGAGATACTGGGATGATTGGGACAATACGAATAAAAATCTACATAAATGCACATGGGAGGAAGCTAGTAGAGACCAAAGATCAATCATTGATTTAATAATAGTAAGGAAAGCCAGTAAAACAATAATACAAGACGTAAGGGTATACCGACAAGCAGAATATGCAAGTAACCACCAATTAGTACTAGTAAAATTCATATACACGGGAAGACGACAAACCGACAATATACAGAGATACGAAAAAATGCAAACAAATCGCAAATACGAGACATAAAGTAGAACTTCTATAACAATTTAGTATTCGAACACTATATCAGAGTAGACTAAAGAAGAATGGACGCCAACTAAAATACATCAACACCTAAAGGAAAAAATAAACAAAGCGGCATACGAAGTTGTGGGTATTGAACAACACAAGAATAAATAAAAAGAGGTTAGTCTTTGTAAATGGGTATATTTATTTAAAAAAACCCTTAAAAGGGCTACATCAATAAAACAAACGTTTTCGGACCACACAGTCCATCATCAGGTTTTAAAATCGAAAAATGCTAGGTCACAATGCCTGAGCCACCAAAATACTAGGGTAAAAACCCTTTAAATTATATTTAGTTATAAAAGATTGTACATTGTGTTGTAAAATAACTGTCACATTTTTTGCTGAGTCCTCTGGTGAGTTTGTCTTCTCTTGGGCGCCAGTCAATTAGTTTTCTGGTCCATCTTGAGTCTTTTAGTCTAGCTATGTGACCTGCCCAATTAAATTTCAGCTTGGCTGTACGTTCGACGACATCAGTGATACCTGCTCGTTTCCTTAGGTTTTAGTTCCTTATTTTATTTCTTTGTCACACCGAGAATCGATCTTTCCATGCGTCTTTGTGCTACTCGCATTTTTATTGCTGTTGTTTTTGTGAGTAAGAGTTTCTGCTTCGTATGTCATAATAGGAAGAACGCATTGGTCAAATTTCTTCCGTTTCATCGCTATCGTTGCTCTTAAAGATGTCTCTTAGTGAACCACACGCCGCCCAATCAAGTGCTGTTTGTTGTTGAAATTCACAGGTCTGATTATCCTTGTTTATTCTGATTTCATGACCGAGATATATGTACTTTTCTGTCAATTCTACCATTTGATTTTGGATGGTTAGGTGTTCGCTGGAACTAAATTTGTCATAAATTTGGTCTTACTGATGTTTATTTTTAGACCTATTGTTGAAGATACGTTTTCTAATTCTTGTAGCATTTGTTGTGATTCACGCAGATCTTCGGTAATAAGTAGGGTCATTGTGCCTAATATGAGATACTAGCGTAATATGAGACCCCTATCTATCTAGCCCGAGAGGTGCTGCAGCGACGCGGCAGTGGCATGAAACAGTAGTGGAAATACTGGACTGTTTCCTTTAAATAAATAAGCGTTCAATGAAGAAGATTTCTTCATTCATTCTCACAGGCTTGTCTCCATAAATAGCCCATCAATACCAGTGTCCAATTCTGAAGTAGGCCTAGACACTGATGGTACCAACATGGATGGAGGTCAAATGAGGGCTGTCAAAGCATTAGTTTCACCTGAAGAAATTAACCCCTTACCAAGTTTGGAGGTTATTGATCCGTCAAAACCAAGTAGGGCCCGTAAAGCTGACATAATCACATCAACACCTTACAAAAATCAATTAGCTGAAATCATTGAAAAGAGAACTGTAAGTAGACCGACTGTGAAAAAATCTCTTTTCACTAGTAAGAAAAATAAAAATGAAGGTCCCTCTAACACCGAAGAAAATGAAGAAGAAACCGAATCCAGGAAAGTTGTTAAGCGAGGAGGAACTCTCAAAGGTAAAGGAAAAGGGGTTATAACAGGAAAAGGAAAGCTACAATCTGAAGGACCTAATGCAAAACGAAGAAAACTGCCTTTCAACACCAAAAATGACAGTAGTTCATCTTGTGAAGATGACAATATTTCCTTAGATGACAGCAGTGATGATCCTGATGAAAATGATGCAGAATGCTTGTTTTGTGGATGTTTTTACTCCCAAGACAAAAGAGGAGAGCAGTGGCGCCAGTGTCGTAGTTGTTGCAGATGGGCACATGAAGAATGTGGGGCTGATGAATTGTTTCTTTGTAAACAATGTGACGCATTTAAATAATTGTAGTCATGTTTTGACTAAGCTGTAGTTAATGCCAATTAATTTTACAAAAGGGTCTCATAATAGGACTACTTTTATCAATGTCCAAAAATGTCATACTTACATATGTATTTTTTTTTATATAGGTTTAAACATGTTTTTCGATAAGTAAGTCTTTGTTTGATTATCCTAAATATATATTGTACTAGTACCTGACTATGTTATATTTATTCCCTATTTTGATTAATAATTATATATAAAAATAAAAAGGGGTCTCATATTCGGCACAATGACCATACTATATCGTCGGCAAAAACGCACATGATTGAGCATTTCCCCGTCTATTTTTATTCCTGTGTTTTTCCACTTTAGCATTTAAAAGGCTATTCGAGGACCGTTATAAATGATTTAGGCGAGAGAGTGTCGCCATGTCTCACACCTCGCTTTATATGAATTTCTCTGGTGGTCATGTAGTTTTACACGCATTGTGGCGTTTTGGTATAATTTATACCAAAACGCCATAATATTATTATATACCTTTTAAAAAGGATTTTTTGAATAATTTTTTTTGTGATTTATGGTATGCTAAAAGCTACAAGAATTTCATTTTCCTTGTGGTTTTTTTCGTTTATTACATTTTTCTTCTATACACAATCCTTCTGTTAATCAATTAATTGAAAACAATGAGCTGACCAATTTAGGTACTCATTCCATCAAGTATTACTCGACAATTTATATTTATTAGTTTCTACTTACCTTCAACCTTACATTACTTTCTTGTAGCTCATAGGTATGTGCTTTTAGTTTTACTGTAGGTAAGGAATGTGGACTTGGTGATGATTCAAAGTTTGTGTTAAAAAGGGAATCCATCAACGTTGATTTACCTAAACCAGTTTCACCTGAAATAGAAGTAATCAAAAATTACATTATTACACGTTTTTTAAATCAATGAATACAATCACACAAAAGGCTATGCTTAATTTATGTATATAAAAAGCATCATAATATATTGCTGCTTGCAATCTGTATAACTGAGAAAGCATTCATGAAATATTTATTTTTTTAATGTTGGATGTGAACACTTTTCGACATCCATTTAGTTCTCTGAGAATAAATTATTAAAAGTATCATAAAGTATTTTAATTTTACTGTTTCTATGATAACTTTTATTACTTGTTCCAAATATATTCGTTAAACTACTGTCTCCACACTATATTATAAGTTTGTGGTTTGTCATAAATTGTCTTTCATACATTTTCGTTTGTAGACCTAAATTCTCCGAGAACTTGCAGTGCATGACTTTTAATATTATACTGGAATGTTGTAAGATGAGGATGATTTTGTATGTCTCCCAATTTATCTTGATATTCATACCTTTCTGAAAGGTATGGATATCAAATGGAATGAAAATGGTATTGATCAAAAGCTAGGTGTTTATCAATGATATTTTGCAGTTATAACATCATATTTTAGGAATAATACATAGTAAACGAAAAAAAAAGGGATTTTTACGAAATATTTTCATTTTCAAAATAAAGTTGTTAACTCAATACAGAACCAAAAACAAATGTCACAGCTTAGTTTTTATATGACCATTTTCATGAAGAGGAAATGTTTTACTGCGCATTATTCTTTTACTTTTCTTGGGTTAAAACTTTGAATTAATTTATATTCATATCTACTTTTTAAATGATATACTTTTTTTAATATAGCCAGCAAAGTATTATTCATAGTAAAGACAGATACTTACCAATACACATTATGTTAAAGATAAAACCATTCTGGACACTCTTTGAGACTAACTGATCTGGTAAAGAGTCAAAGCCAACATGGCCTGATAAGTTTAAGTTCCTTATTTGAGGTTCCACCTGTAACAAATGAAAAGTTGCCAATCACAAACCAATACAATACGAGTAAAAATAAAAAATTACTGCTGTGTAATATGTGTCCCATATCATGGGAATATGATTTAATTCTAAACCAAAAAACATAAAAGTTGTAAGTTTTATTTCTTTAATGGTCTAATTTTAGGTTTATGCAGATTTCTTCGACCTGAATGTAACATAACAATTCCTGCACTTTTCTATCAGAATTTTTATTATTTATTGTCAACGTCATAGTCATATATATATATATATATATATATATATATATATATATATATATATATATATATATATATATATATATATAGAATAGAAAATTAAGAATAGAAAAGTTAAGTAGTAAACTGTTAAATATTGGGGAAATCTGGAAGAAAGACTTTAAAGAGTATCAATTGTTTGGCCGAACGTTTTCACCAAAGAGAATTAATTTGGCTTTTTCAGGGCTGAAAGAGAAGAAATTATAATTAGCTACCATATAATTAAAAAACAGTGGAGTTCTCACCGTAACTTAGAATTGTAGAGTTAGGATGTTAAAAAAACTTAGCTAGTACCAACATAGTGGTTTTTTTGTTACTATGTGAAAAAAGTTACCGTTGGAAATGTATGGTAGCTTTGAACTTAAAACGTAAAGGTGTACCCAATCGAAAAACCCAATGTAACTACTTTTAAAAGGATTTAATTCTTTGAGTTTTCGGCAATAACTAAATTGTGAGGGCTGGTCTACAAGCCACATTAAATTTAATATTATTCTTCTTGCCAAAGCTATTTTCAACACTTTTCAGAATCCTTGTTAACCCTGGAGTGATATATCTGAAATATGGTAATAAAAAATATTTGTTGATAAGAGTATCCGAGACTGGGTTCCCACAGAGATCAGGACAAACATTGTTAGTCGCGAAGGTAGGTGAAGTACCTTCGTTATGGACAGTGTTAAACAAAATCTTATTCACTAATGGTGTTGGATAAGCGTTTGAAATGAAAAGTTTATGTAGGATTTGTAGGTTTTTTGTATGAAAAAAGGATCTGATAGTTTTATTACTCTTTTTTTCATCTGTTTGATTAAGTTGAGTTTGGTAGAATTATTATGGTAAGAGTGGTAGTTAAGGTATCTACCAGAATGGGGCAGTTTTTGATACCAATCTATTTTAATGTTGTTGTTTTCCCCGATAATCCTTATGTCGAGAAAAGGGACGGACCAATTACCATCTTCCCTCTCTATAGTGAACTGGATCTAGGGGTCATAACTATTGAAAGTGTCTAATAGTTTATCTACCTTGTCATTGAGTATAGCCAATATGATATCATCTGAGTATGAGTCGCGATTTGAAAGGGTTTTCGATGAGGTGATGTGGGTATGAATTAAGTGTTATTGCTAGTTTTGCTTTTTTATGGCCTCAGGTTTATTGACAGTGTCGGATTATCTGATAGCTCTGGCGAGGCCGATAATTACTGATTTCTTTAGGGACAAGGGTTGATGAGAGTTGAAATTTAGACGACCAGGTTTTTCTGTTGTACCAGTTTCTTACATTGAACAAACTAGTCAGCTACTTAACTCAAGAATATGTTCTCACAAATATGACAAAAAAACTCAACCGCCATTACAAAATATGAAAGCGAAAAGAAACATAAATGTGATTTTTACAAAACTAAGATCCTACAAAGTGAACATAACAGAAAAAAGATGGAGCTTCTAGAGTCTATACAAATCAAAAAGAATAATCATGCAATAAATGATAAAAAATATGTCAAAAATGTAAACAAGATATATTTTAATTTAATTTAAAATATAAAAAAGGATAATTTCAGAGCGCCTGTAATGTTAAAACAACTGATTGTTTAAATGATACAACCATCCTAATGAAGTGGACATGAGTGGAAATGTAAGAATTAAAATTATGTAATTATATGTAAAAATTCAAGAACTTGTACTTGACTTTAGTCAAGTAAATATTGTAGTTTTGTATCTTTATTTTTTAATCTATATGATTCAGAAATAAAGGAATACAAGACATAATATTTATACATGTAGTAAAACTTATTTATCTAACATATTTTTAAATATAAACAAAAAACAAAGAATTTTTAAAATATAATTGTTATTATTTTAAAAAATATACAGAACGTAGGTATTTAGATATAGTCATACAATGTTTTTCAATTAACATCATATTATTTAATAATTTAACGAATATGTCTTTTACACCGTTAACATTTTTATCAGGATTTCTTTGTTCTTTTTAATTTTATGTGCCTTATCAATATCTTTAAAATACATGTATTTATAGATTACTTATTCATTTGTATTTAAAAATAAACAAAATGGCAAGCTTTGAACAAAACTACCTTGACCTAGATTCATCTATAATTGTAAGGAAAATGATCATTCGTTTTAATATTCTGTAAATATACTCCAATAAATGATCGTTTTGGAGTGTAATTTTCCCTGTCGCGACGGATTGCTTGGAAATTTGGATTTAGGTTCCTCTTACCCTGTACTTCAGTTTTGGACTTGAGCCCAGGAGTGCTTTTACTTGGGGTATGAAAGCCACCCTTCTCGGGGATGAAAGAACATACGTTTAAAATAAATCTGAAATTTTATAAATTGACTAATTCTAAGCAACTTTTATTGCATCGAGTCTATACTTTTTGAGTTATTTGCGAAAATGTTCATTTTTCAAAATAAAAACCACGTTTTTTAGACGGTTTTTCACAAAGAACTCAAGAAGTAGGTATTTTATAAAAAAAAAATATTTTTAGTAAAAATGTGGCTTATAAAAAAAATTGTGTACTTATGAAGTCTGTAGGCCCAGTAGAACCAGAGTTGTAGCTCATGAAAAGAAGGTTCTTATTTGTCTAATTCCAAATCGAATATTTTAACGTAAAATAACACAAAAATTAAACACTATTCGAGGAAAAGTCATCAAAACTTTTTGGAAGTGTTTAAAAAAAGCTTTAATTTTGTTTTATTTAATAATTTCTAGCATCCAAACTAAGTGAGTTGTGCTTAAAATTATGATGGTCCCTTTTTTTGTAAAAACATCGTGAAAATCACCCTCTAATTAGCATCCCAAATAAAATTAATCGTTATCGCTTTGCAATTTACTTTACTTATGTATTGTTTATTAAATCTGTAAGTTTTACCGGTTCAAAATGTTTATTTTTGAAAAAAAAACTTTTTATAGTACTTAAATAAAAATTTTTTGGAATTTTGAAAAAATTCCTTTTTTTTCAAAATAACATTATTAAAATCTAGAGAAGTAGAAAAATATAGGTTATGCTTTTCTGAAAATTTTGGTTTTTTTATTTTTCTGCAAGACACAAAATGTGAAGATATTGCTGTTCAAAGTTTGCATACACTCGAGATTAGTAACTCGTTCAAGTCCTTCCAACTGCAACACTTCTAAAAATAAGGGTTTAAAATAATTAATTTAAATGATCTTATTATCCATAAAAAACCCTGCAAAATTGTATTTTAAGTACATCATAGCTTAAAAGCGAACCGAGTTATCAGTAAAAAACCAATCACATATATTAAGAGATATCAGAACGCGTATACTGGAGCATTGTAATATACACATAATGTGCTATTAAGGCACAGACATACTTTTACCCATCTTTACAAACTAATAAGGGTTATTTTTTAAGTTGAAAGAAAATAAATTCATAACATTTTGATTAAAAAAAATTAATGTCCTATCCTATTAAATTCCTATCTCACTCCACTTGTTACGCTTATTACGTCTGAAATTTTATATTCCATTCCTATGTTTGCTTGCTGATTCCAGTACAAATTCAGTATTATTCTCAAATGTTTATCAGTTATACCTTTACTAATGTCGAATCAAAACATTATCGTTGTTGCAAAATCGCAGTTATTCGTTTGGTTTTTTTTTTTCAAGTAAAGAATGTCTTATCAGCTTACTTGTTTAAACGATTGAAATCGATTGCTGTAAAAAACGCTTAGTATAGTGCCATGTGAACGTGGACTGATGTAACAGTAATGTACCTCGAGGTAAACCTATGCAGTTGGAAATATAGTGTGTCCTTCGTTATGAAGACAACTTGACTGCTTCCTCCGGTATTATATGTTTTCTTTTTTTTTACATTGAAACATTTCTCTGAAACCACATTCTACAGAAAACCTTTCAATTACGAATCAAACGTCAAATGACACAGAATTAATCAGCAATATGGAACAACCAAAATCAGGGTGCTCAAAAAAATTGATAAAAAATCCAAGTGATACCATATAACCTAAAATCTGAACATGTTTTTTTTTTATTTATATTAATAGGTGGGAAAAAAATTGTAAAAATAGTAAGTTGTAAAAACTGATTTTGTAAAGAAAATAGAGTATCTGGTTAATTTTGCGGTTGATATATTATTACTTCTTGATCATATCAATTTTTTAAACTTACATATTTTAAATTGTTTATAATTAATTATAATTTAGCGCATTGTAGATCTGTAACATACAACTAAGGTCATTTTAATCGAACAGTTTGATAGAAACTTTGCAGTTCGATGTCCATTGTGAAACAAAGGTTATGAGTTCAGAGGTAAATAAATGCAATCTGAACGTTAACTTTCTCAACTTTCCCGTCATGAAATTGATAAAAATTATGTTTTAACAAAATTAACATTTATAATTAATTCCCCATTTAAATTCTCTTTATTTTTATGTTTACAAAATTAATATTCAATATTAGATGTAAGTTTACATCTGTTCAATTTTAACACAACTAAAATGTTCGAAAAAAAAAACATAAAAAATTAATTTAAACAAACAAAATTATTAAAATTAAAACACTGAGCGAATAAATAATAAATACAAACATTGCACAATACGGTGAGAACTTAATGATGGAATAATTTAAGAAATTATTTTTTTTTATATGGCATTAAATCGTCACATGCTTTATAATCACTGCGATCAAGTCTGGCATTGTTTTACTAATGTTTGACAAACGTAAGAGTTGAAA